ACAAATACTTGTCAAATGTCTAGTTCTGAAATAATTTAAACAAAGTTTAGAGACTAAAATAAATTAAACACTAGAAAGTTTCTAAAAAAATATCATTCTAGTTCTTAGAACTATTTAATAGAAATTTAATGTAACATGTTTTTCTCATTATTTGATTAGTACAATGTATGCATTGCATAAATATTTAAAGTTGAATCTAATACCTAAGTTGATGGTTCAATTTGGTAGACAGAAGAGCAGCGAAATATAATATATATGTCGGCAGTCGCAAATTTTGAAACGAATATGAATTTTTATGAAACGATATATTAAAAAAATTAAGGAAATTAAAGTTCAAATACTATTTTTGGTTTATATGCTTTCAAATTTTATAAATTTTAGATTTTTACTTTCAACAAACATTAGTTTTGGTTCTGTATTTTAAAAAGTGATCATCTTGATCCATATTTTAAAAATGTTTAAAACAAAATTTATCCAATGAAAATTCTTTAATATAAATTTATGGTTACATTTTAAAATTTGAGTGAAATGTTCTGCTATAGTTTTAATCGAAATAAATGAGGTATGAAAATGAATTAACAAAAATGGTTATTTTTTAAAAGTACAAGAACCAAAATAAATGTTTAACATAAGCATGGTTCAACTGGTCAAGAAGTATATTCCAACTAAAAGACACCCATACATGTTGTTGTATAAAAAAAAACCCAAATGAACATCTTAGAAGATCGAAATAGACGTTTTAAAATGAAATGAACCGAAAGACTAGAATACAATAATTAAAATAGTATTTAAACTAAAAATTAACAAGTAGTTTAATTTTTTTATGCCAAGTTTATGAATTAAAATATAAAACTTAATCATTTAAAAACGAAAAAATGAAATGAAATGATGATTTGGTATTTCAAAGGCTAACTATATGTGCAGTCCCTAATGTTTGGTTATCTTTTCAATTTAATCTCGGTTGTTTAAAAAGTTTTAATATGGTCTCTTTTTATGTTTTAAAATTTTTTGCAATTTTGTTTTTTCATTGTTGATATGTGAATGTTGATACTAGTTGATGAAAAACTTACGTGACATAATACTTAGTGAATTTACATAAATTTATACAAGAAGCAAGGTTATGAAGACAAAAAAGCTTGAAATTTTTACCAAACTCCACGTACTTTGAGTTATTGCTTAGTGTAACATTGAATCCAAACCTTAATGTTATTCCTCGAGACCCAAAGCCACCCAAACCTCCATTTTGGTCATTGTCTTCAATTTTTGTTCATGTTCTCTATAATTTTAATTTTAAAAAGTGTGACCGTGTTTATTTGAAAAAATTTTTAACATAAATTTTATAACAAATTTAAACCATTTAATACAAATTTACTACTACATTAATTTCAGAAATCTTATGAGCGGACTGTCATGCTAAAATTATGATTGAAAGATAATAGATAAAAATGAAAATGAAGGACCAAAATAATAACTTTTACGAGTACAGAGACCAAAATAGACGTTTGGAAAATAAAATACCTAAAATAACAAAAATTGAAAATACAATAATTAAAATAAATGTTTTGAAAATATGGACGGGTTAAACCAAACATATATTAAGCATTCTTAAAAAGTATAATTTTTAAAGGCTGTTCTTTTTAATGCGTTAAATATTTACTATATCCTACTTGAACCCAAACAAAAAAAAAAAATTGGATAATAAAAATAAATAATAAAACTTATATGACTCAAGTACTAAAAGATAAGAAATGAGAGTTGCAAGTTTATTTTGCAGAGCTTCCAATTTTGAGATCATCACAAACAAAGAGATGGTGTGTGAAGACAGAGAAAGCGATTGGTAGTGTGCATATATATATATTTTTTTTCTTTTTTCTTTTTTTTTTTTTGTTCATTGGATTATCTTTTTGCCTTTTGATCGTGAATGTAAGGCTCAATTGGTTAAATATATCAATACATACAATATACATATATATTAATGTGATGTCAATATCTACTATTTAATTTTCATGGTACTATTGTTGGGTTGTAAGGAGTGCTGACTAAGTCCCACATTTGTTACGGAAGAGAGTAATATTTATAGTGTATAAGAAAGAACAATTATGTCCATTGGTATGAGACATTTTGGGTAAAATTAAAAGAAAAGTTGTGAGGGTTATGCCCAAATGAGATACTTGAGGGTCGTTTATTTTTTGAGAATGCAGATGTCCGGCACCTCAAATTTTAGATGTCCGGAATTTTAGATGTCTAATATCTTTAGATGGTCACGTTTGTTTCGTAGGAAAATATATACGAATATCTACGAATATCTGATCACCACGTTTGTTTCGTAGAATTTATTCATGGGAATGTTATAAATTTATATAATGTTCCAAAAATGTCCTTGCCTCGTATAATTTATACATTAATCTAATATAAATTGCATTTATATAATAGAATTTCCTAAAATTAATTTAATATTTTAGATTTTTTATATTAATTACATATATGTATTAATTTTTTTTATGTCATAGAATTCATATCAATATAAGACTTTTTTAAAAATAATTAGTATTGAATATAAATTTCATTTTCAACTTTAATATTTTTAAAAAATACAATTATATAATTAATGTTATATGGGGTAAAATTCATTTATTATATTATCAAATTATATTAATTGAAGTTTATTTTATATATACATATAATACATGAATATACTCAATTGCTTATTAGTCAATGAGTATATTAATTTATTTAAACTATAAAATTACAAATAAACCCAAAGAACTTTAATGAAAGAAAATATATGAAAAAATAAAGAAGAGTAAAAATGTCAATATTGGATGCCCTCGACATGAGAATCATGAAAACTCATATTTCAAAAGGACATCCAAATCGACTCGGATGCTTTCCAAATGGGCATCTTAGAATACTTGGACATCTCGAGATACCCGATATCTTATATTACCACAAAACAAATGTGGGAATCGAGATGTCCGTCTCACGGGAATCTTGGATTCCCACAAAACAAACCGCTCCTTATGGTTTTGTTTATATTTTTTATTATTTGCTGTGCCACACAAAAAAAAGACAAATATATATATATATATATATATATATTATATATATATATATATATTCTTTGTTACTTGATTGGCATTTAGAGTTAAGTCTGTTGATGGTTAGACTAGGCCATTTAAATGACTTAATTTGAAATATTTATTGGTCGAATTTAACATAGGGTATTGGTTAGCTAGTGAGCAATTTTCTAGGTTAAATTTTAAAAGATATTAGTTTCACAACTTAATTAAAACTTAATAAGTTTAATTTGATAAAATTGTGTATCAACTCGTCACATGTCAGTAATACATCGGATCAAAGGATGAATATAACAGTTTGACTTCATTCATCATATCTAAAGTATATATGTATATCTTAAAGGTCTTATCTATAAGGTCGAACTTCCTCTAAGCAGATTAATAACCATTTAACCTCTCCACTAACTACAATTACGAATTCAATGCTGAAATTTGTGCGAACGTGCTATATAACTCCACCCCTAAGTACGCGTGAATATGGTTGGAAATTTCTTACCAAATATTTAGTTTGTGACAACTTGAGCATTAGTGTGCTTGTCACTATTTTACAGGTCTCATTTTAATTATCTTGATTCGTTTTCTAAGAATCTCTGGACTAATAAATTTGAGAAAAAACATAGCATACGAACAAAAATGAAATTTCTCAATTGAAAAATAATTGCTTAAACTCTTTAAAAGGTGTGCATTTTTCTTTAGGTCTTTAAAAAAAAGTTTTTTTTTTCTTTTTTGAACATTTTTTTTTCCTTTTTTAAGAATCACTATATGGGTCTGAATTTTGAATCTTTGACTTCAAAGATAGTAAAGAGTACAAATGTGACATTCAAATGTCGATTAGATAAAATTTAAATGAGTTAATATCATATACGACAGCTAGTTCAACGAATTTCAAAAACCAACCATTACATTATAGTCTCAATTTCTAACCAACTTTACCAACCTTCCATCTCAAATTTTAATTAACCTCAATTGTATCCATCAATCCATGTTTAATTTATTGCACTCACGATTAAACTATACTCATACGAACATGAGTTTAACTCATCGGTAATTGATATCTATCTCTAACCAAGAGGTCAGAAGGTTGAATCCCCCTTCCCCAATTGTTGTAAATAAAAACTACGCCTTCTTATTTAAATTTTGTTTAATAGAGTGAACTAAACAATTTATTCATATTAAAAAAATAACTAAACATTGCTCTAAAAAAATAATAAAATAATAACCAAACATAATTGAGAGTCTAAAAACGCAACTTTAATTTTATTTAAAAAAGAAATTTAAAACTAAAAAAAGACATTACTCTTTTGAGCACAACATGTAATTTATGACCCATAGGATCAATAATATAGATTATTTTTTTATTATTTTAATCCCTCATGTATTATCAACTTTTTGCTCACCAAATTTCTTAAAATGCAATCATAAATGGTACTAAAAATTTTGCAAATAAAGACAAAAAAATAACTTATTTAAAATACAGTGACAAAATAACAGACATTTTGAAATTATAAGGATTAAAATAAATCTAAATTGAAAGTAAAGAAACAAAATCAAAGTATAAAAACTAAAATGAATGGAGTTGAAATATAAATATAGAAATAGTATTTTTCTTATTCATCAATAATAATTATGCAGACTCTAACCTCACAAAAAATTAATTTATGCTTCGACACTTTTTTTTTTAGTACTCTTCGATACTTTTCTTAATACAATATGTAGGATAAGAATTCGAGTACACACTTTTCTTATACAATATGTAGGAATAAAAATTTGAGTATATAACTTTTGAAATAAATACCTTAACCAATTAAGTGATGCGAAGCAACAATTCACACGAATTTTACCCGGGGGAATGAGCCACAAGATTTTATATTCAAAATCTAGAATACAATCTTACAGTATGCCTCAAAAAGCTGCTATAACTCTCTTTACCACTCTACTTTCCTCCATTCTCAACCCCATACCAAAAAAAAAAAGTCAATTCCCAAAAATCCTCTTTCTATCTCTCTCTCCCATGTTCTTGACTTTTCCCAGTTGAAGCATTTTGAAAATTTTACCCATTTCCTTCGTCCAAATTTGCTCCTCCTTCTCTTCATCCTCTCCCCACTATGCTTCTCACTGAAATTTTTCATCTGTCCCCTCACCCACTTGGATTCACTTAGGGTTTCTTCTGAAGCTAGATCTGAACTCAAACATGGGTACCACATGGAAGAAACTCAAGGTTGCTCTCGGCTTCAACATGTGCCTCTATGGCCCTCGGAATCTGGACGATTCCTTGCCCTCCGTCGCTTCTAGATTCTCCGACGCCGTCGCGCCCTCCAATTTCCTTTCTCCGGCCAGTTTTGGCTCCGATTGTCGCCCGGCGACTCCCACTTCGTCGTCCTCCGGTCTCCTGCTCTCCAAGTCCTCCACCAGATCCTCCAAGGTTTGCTCGGTCCCTTTTGCTGTTTTAGTGTTTTCTGCTGGTTAGTATGTGTTTTGTCTGTTTCCTTTAATTTCCGAATTTGGGTTCTTGATTCCTTGTGAGAAGCTTTCTGGTTTTCACTTTCTTTGATCTGGGTGGCTTTTTTTGAAAAGGATTTTGGTGAACAAACTCGTTTTAGAACTTTAGTTTGCCACTTTTTTTTATTTTTTAAGATATTTGATAGGCTAAATTCATATATGTTATACTCTTGAAATTGTTGGATATGGATAGTTACTTCAAGCAAGGAAAGTATGTGAAGAAACTATACTGTTTCTCTGTCTCCTTTGCTAGTGAAAAGAAAACTATTTATGTATATTTTTTTTTAAAATTTCGTTCGAATATCCTTCTCTGTTCATAAAAATTTAGCAAGTAAAAGGAAAACACTATGTATCAGTTCTGTACCATTTTCATTTTATCTGTTTTACTCTATGGTTTCAATGTCATGACTCATGACTATGAGTTGTAAGGTTACTTTCAATTACATGGATTTATGTGGGAGGGTAAAGTGGAGTAGTCCCTTCAAGGACCATTAAGCCTTTGGCTTATTAGTAAAGTAACTCTGCTGCTCTATGCCTTTCCTTTCCAATCCTCCCCCTGAAGAGAGAGAAGTGGTTTGCCTTGTCAGCACCCATGGACTTTTTTCTCCCTTTTGCTTTCCAATGGTGATTTTTGAAAAGCCAGTGGGACCCACTCACCCTCATTGTATGACTTCCAGCAATCACCAAGACCTTTACCAAAGTGATAAGCAAGACTAGGTGAACAGTAAAAGAATTCAAAGTACAAGTTTTTTATGTGGCAACCCATAATTTCACTTCTTTTAATGGTCTTATATGGTCTCTTCTTTTGATTTCCTTCTTTTTATTATTGTTATTCTTTTGTTTTCTTTTTGGATTTGTTGTTTAATTATGGTAACTTTTGGAAAGTTACCCAGTTGACTGTTTGCTAGTTTTCCATCATGGCCTCCTCTATTAGCTAATATTGACTTTTTTTTTTCCTTTTGCTTAGCAGATTTACCGTTGAGGTTTACAGTGATTAATGATTATGATGAGTGTTTGTAGTAAAGATCTTGAAAATGCATATTCTTGTTGGGGGCTGTGTTGAATTATCTCTTCTCTTGATACATGGTCTTGACAGATGAGCTGCATGAGGCAGGACACTGTAGCACCATGTTGCCTTCTAAAGTTTCCTCTGAAATCTTACTTTTATCGAAGAAACACAACACCTATGTTGTTTGAAGTTAGTTTCTTTCTCTCTCACCAATAAGGGGCAAAGGGAAAGGACAAAAGATAGGTAACCTGTTGAGTCGAAAATACCTTTTGGACGAAAAAGAAAAACCGAAAGTTAATACCCAAAAGCACCTGCGGATAATGAGCTTTTGAACAAATTAACCTTTTCATTTTTTCTTCCTTTTGTGCGTGTGCCAACAATGTCTGGCTTAATTCCCAAGTGTAACTGAATGGTTTAAGATGAAAATTGGGCCTAAAATTTACCTTTTAGCTCAAGGTAGAATACTTCTTGTACGTTTGAAGAAAACTTCAGAAACTGTGTTATTGTTAACCTTGGAAATTCAAAGTTGATGTGTCTTCTCGAATTTGACATGCCTATACAGGAGAGAGAGTAGACTCTGTGTTGTTGGTTTAGCATAACTATGTCTCTCTTTGGTTGTTGATGAAGTAGAAGCTGAATAACCATACAAATGCTTCATGGTTAGATTTTCATTTTTGAATTGAAGCATGAGAGGTATCGCGTTGAGTCATTTGAGTTATTTATCTGATATGATATTCAAGTTATTTTTCATATATGAAAATGTGACGATTATAAGAGACGTTTTTTCACCTTACTTTGTGCATGTATTGTCTGTCCTTTTGTGGTTATTTCTTCATTCCACAATTTGTATGGAACCTGAGTTCTGATGTTAACTACACCTGAGTTTACATCCATCTCTCTGTCCTGAATTTAAAAATGCTGCTTTTGCTTTTGGAATTACGTAATTGGAATTCTTGGTTCTTTATTCTCATACTTCTATCGTCGTCAAAATGTAGAGGACCTGTGCAATATGCCTGACAGCTATGAAGCCAGGGAAGGGCCATGCTATCTTCACCGCGGAGTGTTCCCACTCGTTTCATTTCCATTGCATTACCTCGAATGTTAAGCACGGAAATCAAATTTGCCCAGTTTGCAGAGCCAAATGGAAAGAGATTCCTTTCCAGAGCCCAGCTTCAGAACTTCCCAATGGAATGATGAGAATCAACCAAATTGATTGGCCCCAAGATGATTCTTGGATGACCGTTTTAAGAAGGGTTCGTCCCCCACCTATTGAGTCACCTAGGCAGATATCATCCGTGTCTCATGGACCCGAACCAAGTATGTTTGATGATGATGAAGTCCTAGATCATCACTCTAACATCATAGATCAAGGAACATCTGTTGTAGATGCTATTGGTGGTTCTATTGGAACAGTTGAGGTTCAAACATATCCTGAAGTTTCAGCAGTTGCTCAATCGACATTTCATGATAATTTCACTGTATTAGTGCATATCAAGGCTAGTCTTACAATCCAAAGCCAAAATTGTTGTGAAAATCAAACCCCATCTCTTATGGTATCTCAAAATTCTCGTGCTCCAGTTGATCTTGTTACGGTGCTTGATGTTAGTGGGAGCATGGCTGGTACGAAGCTTGCTTTGCTGAAACGAGCAATGGGTTTTGTGATACAGAACCTTGGCCCCTCGGATAGGCTTTCTGTCATTTCCTTCTCCTCTGCAGCACGACGCCTCTTTCCTCTTTGTCGGATGACTGAGAGTGGACGCCAACAGGCACTACAAGCTATTAATTCTTTGGTTTCAAATGGTGGAACAAACATCATTGACGGCTTGAAGAAGGGGACCAAAGTATTACTGGATCGAAAGTGGAAGAACCCCGTTTGTAGTATTATGCTGCTTTCAGATGGTCAGGATACATACACTTTTGGGGCAAGTTCACGTTCCCAAGTTGACTATCTTTCACTTCTTCCGGTATCGATCCATCGCAATAATAACACAGCCTTGCAGATACCAGTGCATTCATTTGGTTTTGGCACTGACCATGATGCTACGGCAATGCACTCAATCTCTGAGATCTCAGGAGGAACATTTTCCTTTGTAGAAGCAGAGGGCACAATTCAGGACGCATTTGCTCAATGCATTGGGGGGCTTTTGAGCGTTGTTGTTCAAGGGCTTCAGGTTAGAATTGAGTGTGTTCATCCTAGTTTGCAACTCGGTTCATTGAAAGCGGGAAATTACCGATCGGACATCATGGCGGGTGCAAGAATTGGCACTATAAATGTTGGAGACTTGTATGCTGAAGAAGAAAGAGACTTTTTGGTGACAATCAACATACCGGTTGATGGTTCCATTGATGAGATGTCATTGCTCAAAGTCAAATGTGCTTACCGAAAGCCCATCACAAATGAACTTGTGACTTTGGAAGATGCTGGGGAAGTGAAAATAAGTAGGCCAAATGCAATTGAAGAACAATCAGTATCAATAGAAGTGGACAGGCAGCGCAACCGAGTACTTGCCGTGGAGTCAATGGCCAAGGCTAGAGTTGCGGCTGAACGTGGTGATTTGGCTGGTGCAGTCTCCATCTTAGAGAACTGTTATCGGACATTGTCAGGAACTGTCTCGGGACGAGCTGGTGATCATTTGTGCACTACGCTTTGTGCCGAGCTAAAGGAGATGAAGGAAAGAATGGAAAACCAGCACATCTATGAGGCTTCAGGACGAGCTTATGTTCTATCAGGGCTGAGCTCTCATTCATGGCAGAGAGCCACTGCCCGTGGTGATTCAACATGCAGTGGAAGCCTCGTGCAAGCTTACCAAACCCCATCAATGGTAGACATGTTGACACGGTCCCAAACCATGTTATTAGGGAACCCAACGCCACGGCCTCAAAGAACACTCCGCCCTGCCATGACATTTCCTGCCCGAAATCGTCAACGGTAATCAACAGTACGTACCATCCGAAACTTCATCCTGCCTGCCATTGTTGTAGACATTTTCTTTTTGCTTTGTTCCGTGTCATTCATCTTTTTTGTGGTATTTGAAGTTTTGTTGGGGCCTGGGGTGAGGGGGAGATATATTTCCTAGAGTTTTGGTGGGTATACTTCCTTGTTTTAAGTTGTAAATGAACAAGAATTGGGGGTGAAATATGTTATAATGGGGGTAGTGAGCCACTGTTTGAGAAGATTGGTTTACTCAAAGTGTGAGTTTGGTTGGGGGGTATAGAAGTCAATTATGGGGATAATTGTGGTGAGTTTCTCACTAAGTATGGTATAATACAACTACTCCTAATTCTTTTCCAAGTGTTTATTTCTCTCACTACTTCTCTGAAATGCTAGTTTCTGTAAATATCTTCATTTCTATCTTTGTCTGTTCTTTGGTTTTTACCACTAAATCCTCCATGTTTTGTATGTATCACATCACATATATATCTTGAGGGTGAGATTTTTAACCTCGACCATGGTCGATGATCTGTATCTTAACCAGTTGAGTTATATTCAAGTTGATATAGAAACTTGTATTTGAAGTTTAATGTATTGAGTTTAATATCGAGTTTAAAAATAGGTAACCAAAGATTTATGTTGTATGCAATATAAAAATTTGACAATGATAAAAGCGCAACCAACCAAATTTGTGACTAAAATTTCTGTGTATGGTTGTATTTTTTTGGAAAGTAATTTCAGTCATAAATTTAATTGGTTATCACCTTAGGTAATAGTTCAATGAATCAAAATTATGACTAAAATTACTTTTATGAAAATGTAACCGGACACACAAATATTTTAATTAAAATCATTTTTATAAAAATTGTTTTGAAATTTTTTTTTTTTAAGAAGTGTTCAAATGAGAATTGTTTTCTTTTTTTAAATGTAATTTAAGAAGTGCTCAAATGAGGAGTGCAAGTTTTCTAAATCAAGTTGGTTCAAGATCATAATTATAATTGGCTATAATTAAGAACGATGATTTCTCATGATGTTAACAGTACTTCTTTCTTTTTCCCATAACTCTCTTATTAACTTTTGTTTCAAGTAATTCAAAATATATTGAAAGTATTGGTATCAAGTTTAAATATATATGATTAAGTTCATAAGTCCTCTAATTCCTTCTAATCAATTAACAATTAAATTTCAAAACTAATGCCACAGTCGTTGCTATTAATTCGTATTTTGTTTTCAGTGATACTTAGTGCAAATTATATTTAATACCGATCAATAATTAAGAAAATGTCATATTAAGTAGTAAAATTTTGTTATTTTTTCATTTAAAAAAAAGTTACAGAAGTTGAAAGGGGGAAAGCTAAAAAAGCATAATAAAACGTCTAAATTAAATAATTGCTAGTGTTTAATCAATTATAAGAGAAATAATTAAGCATAACCTTCGCACATTTAATTGTATGTTATATAATCTTGTTAAATTCCCTTCATAAATTAACCACGTATTAAATAATAAATGTTACATTCTCTATATAAACCATAGCTTTCATGATCTATGCACAAAAGCAAATCCAACTTCTAAATTTCATCTTCTTTTATCATTTTCAATCTAATTTCTTCACAAAATGGCTTACCTTTCTAAACTCTTCATCATCCTCTGGTTTATAGCTCTCATCCTCTCATCCATGGTTGATTCAAGGCCAAATCTTAAAACAAGTTTGGCAGCACGATTAAAGTTGGATGATAGTGAGACATCAGATTGTTGGAGATCTCTATACCAACTCCAAGCATGCACCGGTGAAGTTATCACGTTCTTTCTAAATGGCGAAACTTATTTAGGCCCCAACTGTTGCCATGCCATAAGTATTATTCAGCATGAGTGTTGGCCTACGTTGCTCGGCTCTTTAGGATACACAACAGAAGAAGGTAACATCCTTGAAGCCTATTGTAATACCACTGTTGATGCTCTTTGGACGTCACCGCTTCCTCCGACGCCACTATCCATGGAGCAAAAGGTTGAGCCTAAAAGCCTTGCTCCATGAAAAATAAAGTGAATTTCGTAATAAAATAACTATGAGTTTATAGTAATTTCGAGTCATGACGTTGAATTATTGTGTTTCTAAAGTTTGAAGTTTAAGAGTAAAAAATTATACTTGTTACGATATTTCTGCTATTAGAATAATATAACTATCAATCATAAAAGTATTTAAATTCTGCATTTAATTTTCATCACATTACAAATTGTAACACTTCTTATTATGAAGAAGAAATCAAAACAATCTTCTGTGCATTACAAATTCTAACACTTCTATCATTTGACCAAAAAACAACAATATAAGTTTTGCAAGGCATGCTAATTTTGTAATATACATTTTTGTAATTTATTATACAAAATTTATATTAGAAAAATAATTTAATATTATAGTGCAATATCAATTAAGTAAAGTAAACCTAAATAATACTACAAAATCTTTTAATTCTCTATTTTTTTTCCAAATAAAAAACTACAAAATCTTAACTTAACAGAACTTAAACCTAACAACATTATGAATATCATATTAACGTTTAGACCGTTGAGTCTCTAAACCTAACGACATTATTTTAGTACAAAAGTTTATTCTTAAAAGAAATTAAAAACATAAATTATTATTTAGTTCCTTCTAATTAATAAATAAATTCTAATGCTAATTCCATACTTTCCATTCATATCCCATTCAATGATAAGATTTTTTTTTTAATTTTTTTGAGATACATTCAATGATAAGAATTAAGTACAAAAATATGCCATAATGCTCTCCTAGAGCAAATTCTATTAATTTATTACTAAATAATTGATAAAATGTAATATTTGCAATTGCTTTGGTTCCAATATTTTATTGAATTTTCTAAAAAAAATAAAATTTATAGTTGTTAAGGAAGTCAAAAGGGTGGGGAGCTAAAAAGAAGAAAAGGAAGCTTAATAGACATTATAAAATGTTTCTAATCAATCCTAGTAGTGTTTAATAAATTCAAGTAAAACCAAGTTTAACTGAGAGTTACACCAAAACAAAGGTAGTTAAGTGGTAATTGGCATATATCTCCAACCAAAAGCTGTAATGCTCCAGCGTTTAGACTAGCGCGACCTTTGAACTTTCAAGGACAAAAGTTTTTTTAAGGTGGATAGTCTGTAACGCCTCAGATTTTCGGAATATTTCATTTGAGATTTAATCTGTGCCTTTGGACTTCTCCCTATTTCGTTAAGTGAAATTCTTGATCTTCATAATTTGGAGTTAAAATTTTGGGTAAATTAGGATTAAGTTTAATTTTGTTGGATTAAGATAAATTAAGTTTTTTATTTTTGGAGGAGATTTTTAATTAAATCTTATTTCAGGATTTAGAAATGTAATTTTTCTCCTTTAGATTTATTATTATTATTATTATTATTATTATTATTATTATTATTATTATGTATACAATTCGATCATCCACCTTAAATGTTACTAAAAAAAAGTTTAATGGACCGTTACAAAGTCATATTAACTTCCCTTTATAAATTAATCTTTTTCTTCGTTTTCCCAATTAATATATAATACATTCTCTACATAAATCCTACCTATCTTTTGTCTGGATGGTTAAAAAAAAAATTATAATAAAATAAGATACATTTTCATCCATTTTAGATATCAATATTTCCATCGACATATAGCTACGCCAATTTAGCAGGGCCAAATTCTCTGAAAATTATTTTTTTTTTTATTGTGGGTGACCAAACATTATCTATCTTCACATGATATATAATTTAATAATTTTAAAAACATGTCATAGTTGCACTTCATCCAATTTTTTCCTAACAATGGTTTTAAAAAACTTAAGAGTTGAAAGAGGGAAATAAGAGATAAAAACCATTTTTATTATTCACAATTTGAAAGGGTCGAGAGATATAGAAAGAATTTTGACAAAAAAAAAATGGTAAATTGCATGAACCATCCCTAAACTATGGTAGTTGTTGCACTTACACCCTTACACCCTTAAACTTTCAATTGTAAAAATTAAACCCTTGAGATTTGATAAGTGAAAAAATTGGACCTCCAAATATTTAGTAGTAAATAATAAACCCTCAAACTTTCATAAATGATAAAATTGCATCCCTAACCTTTAAAAAATTACATATGGTTTACTCTTATTTCCTTCCTTTTTCTCACGCTCTCCCAACATTCACTGATTTTGGTCATTTAATTTCGGTCGAAATGGAAATTGTGGAAACTGATTTTCAGGTGCAGGAATTCGACGTTTTCTCTTTTTTTTTTTTTTTGGAAAATCATTACGAAGAAAATCATTAATAAGAGAAATAGCCCCAACAGAGATTGATTCAATGGCTACAATTTTTCTTCAATACCGCATAACTCGGAAGTGAAATAAAATTCCAAGAAAACAAGATCACAAGCCCTCAACCATTTTCAATTACAAAAAATTACAAAGAGAGCGAGTGTGACAAATTTTTGATGGAGCCCTTCAGTTCCCATGGGGTTGCTCCCATGGGATTGCTGCGAATAAAAAGACACAGAACAAAATTAGCTTTTATTTCTCAGTAACTGAGAAATAGGCACAGATAATATTCAATGGAGCAAATATATCATTCTTCTCAATTAAAGAGGTGAAATTTAATTTTAGGGATATTCCAATTCTTCAGCATTTGTTTAGAGAATTTGGTGTTAATTAACAGAATTTGGTGTTAACAAAATCTGGATTTGTATATTTTGCGAGATACAGTTTTAATTATCTTTCTAATACTCATTTTAAGGGTTTGTGGGAGAAATAGAGTAAAATAGAATGTAATTTTTTTAAGTTTATGGGCTTCATTTTTACTATTAAATGATTTAGAGGTTTAATTTCATCCTCCGTGAAAATTTGAGGGTTTATTTTTTACTAATGAATGTTGAAGGATCTAATTTTTTCACTTATCAAAGTTTGAGGGTCTAATTTTTACAATTGAAAGTTTAAGGGTGTAATTGCAACAATTACCATACTTTAGGGATGATTTGTACAATTTACCAAAAAAAAAGTACTATAGTTTATCTTCTCTAGCTCTGTAAAGCCTACAACTATTATCATGATTCACAAAAGCTTAAATCGAATTTAAATAAACTCGAGCATCATTCTTATTATCATCTATTAATATCACAGTTGATATTGATCTTTTATCGTTATCGTTACCTTCTCCAACGCCACAATCTATTCAGAAAAATATTGAGCCTAAAAGCCTCGCTCCATGAAAAGTAAAGTAAATTTTGTAAAAAATTATGAGGGTTTTCTTAGTTATTTCGAGTTATGTTTATGTTTAGTTGTGTTCCGAAATTTAAAGTTTAAGAGTCTAAATTAGTTACACTCGT